TTTTTGTTCGAAACTTTTAACGTGTGTAGTAAAAAAAAGCAATTGTTATGTTTTTATATTGATTTATATTAATGTAAAACTAATACTTAGAAAAGTACATTCTTTAAGCATGCTAAACCTATATATTTGGCTTTTTCCGTTTTCTGAAAATCAAATTAAAATCATGTTGAAGGTAAATTCTTTATATATAAAATATATTAATAAAATCGACAATCGTTTTTGTCTAAACTGTTTTTTATTTCCGTAACGAAACATGTTGACTAAAAGATGTTTGATAATAAACTACAACGGACATAATAAGGATTTTATACTTCTTTTTTAGAAACTTTTGAGATTATAATTCTTAGGCCACATGTAAACTCTTACACGAATAAACTTTTTAGCCGAGTTAAAAAGATAGTGTAGTCTCTTACATAGGCCTTTTTTTACCTGCCAAAAAAAAGATGACCTAATCTCCTACGCAGACCTTTTTACTTTATAAGTTTGGGATAGATAACAACATACTTGTTATACACTATAGTACAGCGTATAGTAACTAGTATATGATTTCATACTTTTGGTGATAATATATTTTAAATGTATTATTTGATATTATATTTTAATGTACCATATATTGCAAGATCGATGTTAGTTTTAAAAAAAAATTAATATGGTTAACATTTTTTTTATTTTTCAAACTTTCTATTATATTAATTTAGGAGATTGAACCATCTTGTGTAGGAGTTGACAATATTTAGTGCAGACGTTTTTACTATCTTGTACAAGAGTGCACAGTTCACCTATGTAGGCGATTATCTAATTTTAGAAGAGTTTACCGTTTCCCAGTTCTTACGGATGAGTATATTATTATCGTAAGGACAAATGCAATATGTAATATGATAGACACCTACTCTTATTGCTCATTTAATATTAATTATCAAACTCTACTCGTATACGTAGTATAAAATATAATATATAATGCATTAACTTACAAGATTCGTTTGGTTTGTAGAATATTTTGAATATTACCCGGCCGCGTTTTGTGAAGTTTAACTGTATAAAGGTACATTTTATCCGTCAACCAAAATAGGAGTGTATACAATGATAAGACCTCGGTGGTTTAGTGTTTAAGTTAGTGGCACGAGTTCAAAACCCAAACACGGTGTACAACTAATTAAAACTATAGTTTTACTAAATGGTTTTCACTAGTCACTGTATTCGTTTTTACCAAATGCTATGTAATATGAACTCGAATTATTTTATTTACACGTAGTTTTTATTGGATTTTTATTAAAACAGTCCAAAATTCATGTGTGATTCCCCAAAAAGAAATCGAAATTTAAAAATTAGTCATCGAGATATTATCCGATACTCATATCTCCGTCGAAATGTTTGCAATTTTTTTCCTATTACTAAAAAAATTAATAGAAATTTTAAAAATGGTACTACTTTTTTTTTTTTGATTGAAACTATTCAAAATAATGTATATTTATAGACGAAGAAAAATTTTAAATTATTAAAACCAATTTCATCCGTTCAAAATCTAATACCTTAACAAATCAATTATAATACTAATTTTTGTATACATTTTTTGACTATCTTGATACACGTCTTAAATTTCTAAAAGTATATATTTTTAAATATTCAATCAGCTAAAAAACTGGGATGAAGGCGAAGGAGAAGAAAAAGATTCAAACAATTTCCCAGGGCGAAACAATAAAGTTTTTAAAGGAAAACCCGTACTATCTCCATAAATAATAAAACTATCCTAATAATAATAAGACACAGACAAAATACGGAGCAATTTATTTTTCACAAAATAACGATAATCCATAAAGATTCCAAATAAATTTTGGTTTTTTAGATCCGAGCATAATATTTAATGTGAACGTTGAGGATTTTTCGCCTGGTAATCTTGTTTTTATATACATAAATATATATTTTTATTATTTCTTAACGGCGATAGTATTACAGTTGCAGTATTAATAAGCTTAGTGGGGCTACTAGCGTAGGGTGTTCTGATGTATTTTTATTTGAATTTGGTACCGAAAATAGTTTTCTTAAACACAAGCACACGGGATCTCAACTTGTGTCATGCAAAGAAATTTTGTTGGATCTCAAAACTCTTTTTGAATCATCGGGAGAAAAAGAGATAACATTTCAAGAAGCTGCTGGCTGTAATAGTTTTATGGACACATAAGGCTATCAAAGATGTCAGTGTAAGACCAAGTGTAAAACGAATAAATGTACCCGTCGTGCAGTTAGGAATTATGCAATTCTAAATGCCACACTTCTTTATCGCGTGGAAAATAAATAATTATCATATACGAATTTAAATATATATTTTTTATTTTTATTTTAAATTTTATTTCATTTCATTTAATTTATAATGGTTGTCTGTTTGCTTATGCGATTATTCTATACCTTAATGGACAGCTATGAAACTTGCATGCACTCTTTTATCGAATACAATTGTTTGTTTTAGGATATTTTCAAAGTATAAAACGGACTTCAAATAATTTCGGTACGTTTATAATACCCACCACGGATATGTAAATATTGAACGAGCAGGTTTATTACTCTATGAACACATACAGAAAGTTTTCAATATTTAATAAAATATAAACATACTCAAATCTTTCCACAACCATCACGTTTAGAGGTAAAACTTGAGTTTAAATTTGCGGTTTTGGGATAAAGGTATTGGAACCTAAAAAAAAAAAAAAAACAATTCGCAAGTTAAGTATATAAAAAAAAATACCTATGCAAAATAAATTCATGAGATGAATTAATACACTGTCATACGGCCACTATTCTTTTTTTTTTTCACTTTACGCGTTCAAATAGATCTTAAGCAAATACCCTGACACTTAAATATAGATGTGGTATGTTAGTATAATATTCAAACCTAAAGGAACGCTCATTCTTTGTTATTGAGCATTGTTTATTGATATGTGGGTATATTCAATTTTTGAAATATTAAAATGGTATCGAAAGTATACACAATAAAACGGTTTATATTTTAATCAAAAATAAATACACGAATATATTCTGTACAATTTAATAAGACCCAATCACAATAAAAAATGTATGAGAATGTATATATCAAAAAAAGAAAACTATTAAAATATTAATATTTTAACATGTATGCAGGATTTATTTTTTTTTGTTTTAAATTTCATCAAATGCATCCAGCAAATAAATCAGATACAACGAGTAGACAGCTATTTTAGTATCTTTTTCAGTGCTCAATTCGGTTACGGTAATTTGTTAAGAAAATAAAATTTAAAATTAAACGTGCAAAATGTAATCAAGGTAAAAAAAACACTAAATTCTAAAAATGAAAACATTAAAACACGTCTAGTCATAAAAATGATAAAAATCTAAAAAAACTCATTATTTTTTATCTTGGGCAAAGTCAGGTTATTGGGTTAATGTAGTATGAACATATAAATTTAAAACGCCTTTGAGATATTTCCCAAATTTAACTAAATACTATAAATCAGAATGTTATACAATACACTCCAACGAGCATTTTGCTTATTAATTTGGCTGATAAATTATTATGATCCATAATAGTATTACCTTAATTTTAGTACCTTTAACGATGTTTTAAATAATCAATATTACTCGTGTATTCGTTTTACATACTCGTATATAATATTGTATTATACCATCTACCCACAATAATATGGGCACATATTTAAAACGTCACTAAATTAATTGAAACACAAAACATAAATTTAACGCACGCTAAGAATTATATACTCGACGGGATCAGCTACAAATGTAATCAAATAGTTGGTAATATTATCGAAAATATTGTAATGAATATTCGATTGGTGATGGTATAAAAAAAAATTGAATTTGAAAAGTTTTAACCCGATGATGCAATAAATAAATCGATCACGTTACGTAGCATCATAACTATTACGTTCGGAGCAGTACCCGAAGCAATGCAACTATTTATAATGATGTTAAGCGGTCAAACAGCGAGGCGAGAAAGGCATAAAATTTCAGTCTGTCGTATCCGCTTGTACTCAGTTGGTTATACAGGTTGTTCCTAAGCATTTTTTCCATTTAATTCGTCCGGTACATTAGCAAAATAGAGATAATGGTTTATTTCGTTTTGTAACGAGTAATAATATTTAATGCACCTAAGTACCAATACCTGTAACGATCGTGGATGTTCTGAGTATATTTTCACAAATCTATTGGAATAATCAAGGCCAATTGAAGGAGATTTAAAGTCTACATTTTCGGTAGACAACCAAATTACGTCAACACAAACGTTTGTATGGTACACAACAATAGTGCACTAAAGTTGTGTAACGTGTAAAATATAAACAGGTATAGTGATAATCAGATATACAAACAGGTTAGTGACATGTCCCGAGGCGGCTAGGAGACCATCACCACCATCCGAGAACCCGATCTGTTTCAGAAGTGTTATAGACGCAACCCTCGTTTGTTAAAAAATTTGCAAGTAAAATATAAAATTAAAATAACAGTTTCTGGGTAAAAAAAAAAATAAATTCCAGTAAATATACTATGTGTATCAACACGAAGTGCATAGGTTTAATATATCATATACCATCACGAGGGCATGTCACTGAAGGCCAAACTTTCAGGTTATATTTCTCAAGCGATTTAATAAATTTCTAGTAGTATTTATACAATTTTGTAAATCTGAATTGGTAATTATTACTATTATTATTATTATTTTTTTTTAATAATATTAACGTGATAGATTCATATTATATTACACCGACTTTGATCAGATCAGAAAATATTCTTTAATCGATAAAGAGAGAGAAAAACGGAAAGTGGCAATGGATGTGTAGTATGAAAAGCCAAAATGCAAAATAAAACCAAGGAAACGTTTTGTAAAAACAAGTACAGTGATCGGCAGACCAATACGTGAGGAAACGGTAAAACGCTGGAAACAAATGATGCTGAAGATAAAGAGAAAAATACACCGTGCACATACAGAGCCAAGTGAAGAACTACATAAACAAGACAAAATCCTTTCATGGAGCTTATGAAGAACCATAAATCGAATAAAAATGGCATACAGCCACACTAAAAATAACTAGCACAAATGGAACTTAGCTGAGGGATGACAAGTGCGGAGAAATACAAGAGGATAAACATGTTTTCTGGTGCAAGTATTTTAATGGGATGTGTATAGCAAACGATGTCAACTAGATGATAGAACAATTTCATACGGTTGCCGGAATATCGGGACGGCAAAATATAACAATGTTTTTACACGTCACACTACTATGACCTGGAACGAAAAAGAAGAAGAATATTATACTGATAGGTATGCACCTAATAATAATGTTATAATAATAATTACGCTATGCTAAAAACGCAAATTTGTGAAAAAGTATGACCCGTATTGTTTATTAGAACACAATTATTATGTTATCTATAATATTTGTTTTCAAATGTAGATTAATGATAAATTGCAATAATATTGATCTAATTCGAACAGCAGAGATGATGGAAACATTATGCCAGAAGCCTTTGAACGAAGGTCAATTTTCGGTCCACGGAAAATGAAAATGATTTTTTGGTAGTTAAATGTTTAAAAACGAGTTCTGAGCTCATGCAGCTGGCGGTTGTTCCATTGTTGTAAGTGAAAAGCTGGAAAGGTAGGCAATATGAAGTTATTTAATTAATATCTGTACGCAACAAGAAATTATTGTTAACGGAAATATGAATTTAAACGGAGTTCGGTAAAATTTTTTCGAATTGCAGCAATACGATTTTTGTCAACATTTTAACTTTTACGGTTTTATGGAAAAAAAAAAAAAAACATAATATTACGCTAAAATGTCTATTTACTAATAATTACAACCTTATGATGAACCTTGAGTTAAAGTTTCGAACATTTTGCTCGGCAAACGACTTTATCCGTTGTCAAGAAAGAACATTCAGAATATCTTTAAATTAAATAATTAATTTACCAATATAATATCATAGTGTATTCACTGCTGTTTTTGAACTTACAGATATCAAATTCAACGAAACACTATTATTAATATATTATAGAATTGGTATACAGTCTGTTATAGATTATACTTTTTTTTTTATATAGATTTCATTTACGCAGATATAGACATCTATGTATACATATGTTATGCTTACATTTATTTTTTACGTTTAAACTTTTCGTGTATCTTGATGTTGGTAATTACGTACATTCTACTACTAAAAGGTGGCTAAAAATTAAATTAAGAATATATTATACAATGTAAATGAAAAATGTATTGCTCTTTTGGTCCCCCGCGGTCACGTGAAAATATTTTAAACAAAGCTAATTATCATTGTGAACAAATAATATTAATATGAATAAATAATAACAAATGATTAAAAAAAAAAAAAAAAAATGATTTCGGTTACTATACAATACAGCGGTGTTTCGTCGCCACGGTAGCACCGATATCACCTATTGTAATAATAATAATATAATTGTTGTACGCTTTCCGTACACCGTGACGCGTCCGCTTCCTGCGGGTATTGCTTCTCCTGATACTCAGAGAATATTGTTCACCTGTTATTCTAACGTTATCTGTTATTTGTTTTGAAACATTGTGTATTTTCTACGCGCGTCAATATTATTTGTTAATTTTTTCCCTAAACATAATAGCGGGTTAAAAACCGATGACCGGTAAACGATAGTGTAAATTTGAAACAAATTAAAACCAAATTAGATATTTAAAATATTGTAAAACAGTGGGTATTTAACAGAACAATAGCTTGATTTTCATTTTATTAAACCGCCAAACTGCGACTCATCAAATATAGGTAGATACGAGGATTTCGCATTCATTTTTATATTAGAAATTATCGACACAATTACATGGCGAATTTTTAATTTTAACAGGCGCGTAAATATGAAAATGTAATCAATGTAGTTAATCCGACGTGCAATAGGAATTGCTTAGTTTTCACAGTTTGACGATAAGTAATAATAGTATTAACATTATTGAACACGTTCAATGAATAAATCGTGAATAAGACAATAAAATGTATACCCTAATATGCCTACTTTTATTTTAGATTCTGAGTGGAGCGAAGTAGCTTATGGTTTTACAATGATATTTATTTTTATTTTTTATCTGTAAATAACTTTTCTATCAGAATTATTACTCTGATTTACAATAATAGCACTTTTTCCTGAAAGGACATTTTATTGGAAAGGTACTTTAAAGAAGTCATTTTTTTTTTTTTTATTTCGCAGGAATTTTCTCAAAATATTAGAAAAACCAGCAAAAAATGAGTGAAAACGGGAGCACAGGAAAATAAGTACAATATTAAACAAATATTGTTATAGTAAATTTTTAGTGCATATTGTGTAATTATTTTATCATAATATAACATATATATTGTTGAAAAAGCAACACTATACTAATAACTGAATTCTGCTCAGAATCGTTTATTCGTTGGCAATAGCTAATCATTGCTTAAAGATATACATTTAATTCCCGTCTGTGTCCTACCTTCCCAACTTTCCGCCTACAACAGTGGCTGCACTCACGTGTGAAGCATGACCGTCTTTTATCATTATGGATTTAAAAATGTTTTATTTGCTCGTCTATTTTTGTATGATTATTTTAAACAGTGCACTGAGACCCGTACAGTTTTCAATTTTAAATATCATAAAGTCTAATGTATTAATGTTTTTTTGATTAGCATTCATCGTTTGTTAGAACTCACGCGGGCTAATTTCAAAACAAAAAAATATACCTATGACTGTATTATAATACCTACAAACACATTTTTCAATAATAATCAATTAATCTATGATCTATGATGGGATTGAATGTCATTCAACAAACAATACGGTTTTGAAAATTCGCATGTTTCCTGTTATTATTATAATTTATATCGGCTAAAAATATAACAATGTGTACAAGGTATAATACAAACAGTTATAATATGAGTGCCTAACTTAAACATTTCGTTAAAGCAGTCGTTGTTTAAATAAACTACTCTGCGCAAATTTAATATAATTTTATTTAGAAACAAATTGTACGATATCATGATGGTTTCTTATTGGATTTTGAATAAAACAGTTGAATTTTTCATTATAAACAATGTGTGGCTTGTTTTTATTTAAAGAAAAAAAAAATTCACTTTTTATGATAGTAAATATGGCCGAAACGTTTTATATGTATAATGTATATAGTTTTAAACTTACTATGTTTATATATCATACAGATATAAGTATAATTTTGAACACAGATGCTACATTAAAGAAGTTATATTCGAGTTGCCCGGTTCTATTTACTGTAAATATACTCGTAGTGGATAATTTAAAAAACAGCAAGCGCGCGTATTGACATTTTAATTCCGAACTCCAACTGCGATAAATATCGTATTTTTATAACAGTAATATTATAATATTATAATATTTATCTTACGTTTAATACTTTTACTAAAGAATAATAAAAGTAACTGTATACAAAACACTGACCCACTCAAGATGCAATAAAATGTGTTTACTCGTTGCAACAAGTTAACTAACCTTCTTGTTTATTGAATAATAACCACACGACGTATTCCTTTCGTGAATTAAATGCATACAAATCTGACTTGCTGTAAAAACTTTACAGTAAAATATTCTAATTCTCGTTGGGTGAACATAATTTATAAATGGAAAATTCTCGTGAATTTGACTCGTAGTTTTTTTGTGGACCCTAGGTATTATAATAAGATAAATTTAACACTGGGTTCAGAATCAATAATTATCATAATTGGAATAATTTTACTGTAAAACTATCAACGAGATCAACTTGCCAATATGAACTGTGTGAGCTAAAATTAAACTGTTATAAGTTCTATAGAACTTATACTTACTCCTGTTGAAAATCCAACGGCGAATGATTTAATTCTATGAAGGTATTGAAACATTGAAACATCAAGTTAGTCAAGTTAATTGAGCCGAATTTTTCGGAAGTCTTTTTGTCCTTTATAATGCCTACAAGATTCCATATAACATTGCCTACACAGAACGGTCCAACAGTATTTTCTAAATATATTATTATAATATTATATTATATTAATATATATTTATATTTGTTATACTTTATTTATTTATTTATAATTTTTTGTATATTTTTTATTTAATATTATTTCTAAAATATCTTTTACATTCGAAAAACTTGGCTTAGTTTCCTACGACTTTTTAATACCAAATAATCAGTGTGTACAGCTATTATATAAGTTATGCAAGTATTATGCACCAAAAGCTGCATAGCTACTATTCCTCGTTCATTTAATCGATGACAACCCAAACAGTATTGGTAATCTATTTCAATCTAGTGTTGATATTATAAAAAAAAAAAAAAAAAAATACCCGTAACTGATATTATTTGGAAAATTTAATAATTCATTATTTCCACGAATTTTCAAAATAAAAATGACATTAACACGGAACATTAATTATCCAGTTTTATTTAAATTATATATAAGGATGCCTATATAGACGCATATTATACCATATTATAATATTATGAACATTACGAGCATTTGAATGATCAAAATTCTTTTATTCAATGTGACCTATAAACCGAAAACGAAATCAAATAAACTTACCTAATGATAGTATCTAAATCAAATAAAATGTGTGTGCGGAAAGTTCGTCTTTGTGTATTTTTATATCATTTTCAGATAAATCAAAACGATAATCTTATTATTTTAATAAACCTATAAACCTACCCCCGTGCCTCCTAACTTTATTTTTAAAATATGTTATTAATTTTTTAGTCGAAAATAAAATAACACTTTTAGACAGAATATAAATATGAATTTAATGTACACGATTTTATGTACATATACAATAAATTATAATTGAACAAAGTTTAATGCAATATTTTGATGGTCTTTTTAATAATCTATCGAAGCATTATTTTTACCAACGAGGTCGTCACTTAAGTTATTACATTAAAGTCAACTGTATAAAGGACCTTTAGTTTTACTGAGCTAGTTGACACTTTTAAAGCAAGTATATAGCGTTAAAAGACATTTTGAGACGGATTTAAGACTTTTAGACAAAATGTATTCTAGACACAGGGACGCTATATAGTTTTTATTGACTGTGCAGAAAAACTTAAGTTTTTTCATTTTATGTAGGTGCTATATAAAAAACAATGTTGTCATTTTTTTCATACTATTAAATAAGATAAATTATTTTTATTTTATTAAACAAAATTAATAATAAAAGCACAATTGAAAAATGGCTGCTTAATTTTCAAAATGTTCTGTGATATAAGTTCTAA